TGTGCTAGGAGATGTAGTGAAACAACCAGTGGAGGTAAAGTTGCTATCTGCTTCTTAGTCCTCTGTAGAGTTAGGCAGAGGGGGCCTCGTGGAACAGTTTGTTTATGTGCACCAAGATAGCCCGTGAATCTGTCATAGAGAACTTGAGGAAACTTTCCTGGAGGTAGTCTGTAATCCTCTGCCAAAGGTTTCTGGGCAGGGCTGCCTTAGTTCTTACACTGCACTATGACACTTTGCCACACCACTCAGCGATTACTTCAGCAGGCAACATTGCAGCACGCCGGCAAGCAGCATATGGCCCCGGTCTGCAGCTGGATGCCTGGTTCCCTTTCAGCCTCCATTACCCTCAGGAGTGAGATATCAGCTAAAATCACCACCACCTGTGGAAAACAGGGCCCGTATTCAGTTCATTTACCCTCTGCTCATATATTCACGCCCATGAGCTATTTATTCCTGCCTTATTTCCCCAACTCGTCCCCTCCCCACAGGGCAGTACTGACCATGGCTTCAGGTTCAACAGTCCTGTGCCCACCTCCCGCTGGAGTCTGTGGAGAACTGCATTCTAGGACCTCCCTGTACCCCCCACACACATTCCACGTGGCGGCCAGGGTCGCGGCACTCCCACTCTCCCTGGGGAAGGGTCCAGGCAATCCCAGATGCACATACACCAACTTGTGAAAGACACGGTTGGTGTATGTGTTGTGAAATGGAAATGACTTCTCTTTCCCCTTCAGAAGTTCCTCTCCCTGTATTTATTACGTTATATTCAATTATAAATGTGTCTGTTTACACGGGTATGGAATAAAAGTCTATTTTTGGAAACTTAATTCATCTTTATAAGTTCACAGCATATGCTGGCCGGGCTGACATCATTCACAGCTAATAGCAATAGGTGCGTTTGCAATGTTATATTATTGCTATACACGCAGCACTTGTTACAAGGTTCATACCGGGGTGAAAAAGAGCAATGCCAGCTAGAATACCTACAGCAGGGGTCGACAACCTTTCAGAAGTGGTGTGCCGAGTCTTCATTTATTCACTCTAATTTAAGGTTTCGTGTGCCAGTCATACATGTTAACGTTTTTAGAAGGTCTCTTTCTATAAGTCTATAATATATAACTAAACTATTGTTGTATGTAAAGTAAATAAAGTTTTTAAAATGGTTAAGAAGCTTCCAGAGCTTTGGAGCGGAGCCCGGAGCTGGAGCGCGGAGCAGCTCTGGAGCAGTGGAGCTGCAGGTTTTTGCCTGGAGCTGGAGTGGAGCCGGAGCACAGTTCCAAAGCCCTGGAAGCTTCCATTAAAATTAAATTAAAATGTAGAGCCCCCCGGACCAGTGGCTAGGACCCGGGCAGTTTGAGTGCCACTGAAAATCAGCTTGCGTGCTGCCTGCGTGCCATAGGTTGCCTACCCCTGCACTACAGCAACACACATTACTATGGCTCACTCTTAAACTGGTCTTTCAAAGCCTCCCTTAGCCAAATAGCTCCATGTTGAGCTCTTCTTATTGTCCTGGTATCTGACTGCTCAAAATCAGCAGACAGCCACTCCACCTCTGCCCTCCACCCCAGTGGCAACTTTTCCCCCTTTGCTTCACTTTGCTATAGTTTTGACCAATTTGCCTGGTACTGAATTTAGGCTTACTGGCCTGTGATTGCCAGGATCATAGAATCATAGACTTGAAGGTCAGAAGGGACCATTATGATCATCGAGTCTGACCTCCTGCACAATGCAAGCCACAGAATCTCACCCACCCACTCCTGTATCAAACCTGTGTCTGAGCCATTGAAGTCGTCAAATCATGATTTAAAGACTTCAAGGTGCAGAGAATCTTCCAGCAAGTGACACCTTTGAGCCTTTTTTAAAAATCAGCATTACATTAGCTAACCTCCTGTCATCTGGTGCAGAGGTTGATTTAAGCAATAGGTTACATACCACAGGTACTGGTTCTGCAATTTCATATATGAAGTCCTTCAGAACTCTTGGGTGATACCATCTGGTCTTGGTAACTTATGACTGTTTAATTTATCAATTTGTTCCAAAACCTCCTCTAGTGACAGCTCATCTGGGACGTTTTCTCAGATTTCTCACCTAAAAAGAATGGCTCAGGTGTGGGAATCCTCCCCATATCCTCTGCAGTGAGACTGACGCAAAGAATTCATTTAGCGTCTCTGCCGTGTCTTCCTTGAATGCTCCTTTAGTATCTCAATCATTCAATGGCCCCACTGATTGTTTGGCAGACTTTCTGCTTCTGATGTACTTAACATTTTTTTGCAGTTAGTTTTTGAGTCGTTTGTTAGCTGGTCTTCAAATTCTTTTTTTGGACTGTCTAATTATACTTTTACACTTGACTTGCCAGAGTTTATGCTCCTTTCAATTTTTCCTCAGTAGGATTTTACTTCCAATTTTTAAAGGGTGTATTTTTGCCTTTAACACTCTGTTGTTTCGCCATGGTGGCATTTTTTGGTCCTCTTACTATTTTTTTTTTTATTGGAGGTATACATTTACTTTGAGCCTCCATTATGGAGTTTAAAAAAAATTTCCATGCAGCTTGCAGGCATTTCACTCTTGGGACCCCTCCTTTTAATTTCCATTTATCTAGCGTCCTCATTTTTGTGTAGTTCTCCTTTTTGAAGTTAAATGCTACTGTGGTGGGTTTCTTTGGTATTTTTCCCCACAAGGATGTTAAATTTAATTATATTATGGTTGCTATAACTGAGCAGTTCAGCTATATTCACCACTTGGACCAGATCCTGTGCGCCACTGAAAACTAAATCATGAATTGCCTTTTCCCTTGTGGGTTCCAGGCCTAGCTGCTTCAAGAAGCAGCCATTAATAGTTCATTTGAGCTTTGTGGCTTTTAATTTCCAGCTATTCTAATAGATCTGCTAGATCCAAAAGCCATCTATTCTCCACACCCTACTTGAAACAGAGCTGGGTGAAACTTTTCAGATAAAGCTTTTTTCAGTGAAAAATTCAGATTTGGAGACACTGCCATGTTTTGCAAATTCATGTGGTTTCGCTGAATTGTTCATGTTGGGAAAAAAGAAAAACCTCCCAACATCTCAACATTTTGTGTTCACCATTTCTAAATGAAACATTTTGATTTTTTTGGGTTAAAAATGACTTTTCATTTTAAAATATCCTTGAAATGTAGATATATTTTTAAAAAATAAAAAATGTTAAGAAACTCATTTTTTTTTAATTTCTCATAATTTACAGCAAAAATGAAAAATAAATTGCACTGCTCTAGTTTACAGCTGCTAGTCAAGACATTTCTTAGATTCATAGATTCCAAGGCCTGAAGGACAATTGTGACAATGTAGTCTGACCTCCTCTATAACACAGCCCAGAGATCTTCCCCAAAATAATTCCTGGAGCTGATCTGTTAGAAAAACATCCAATCTTGATTTTAAAATTGCCAGTGACAGAAAATCTACTGTGACCCTTGATAAATTGTTCCAATGGCTAATTACGCTCACTGTTAAAACTTTACACCTTATTTCCAGTATAAAATTATCTAGCTTCAACTTCCTGGTATTGGATTGTGTTGGACCTTTCTCTGCTAGATCGAAGAGCCCATTATTCAACATTTGTTCCCCATGTAGGTACTTATAGACTGGAATCAAATCACTCTTTAATCTTCTCTTTGGCCTGGTTCCCACTAACTCCCCACTTTGGATTAAGATACGCAAATTCAGCTACGTTAATAACGTAGCTGAATTCGAAGTACCTTAGTCCGAACTTACCGCGGGTCCAGATGCGGTAGGGAGGCTCCCCCGTCGATGCCACGTACTCCTCTCGCCGAGCTGGAGTACTGGTGTCAACGGCGAGCACTTCCAGGATCGATCCCAGAAAATCGATTGCCTGCCACCGGACCCTCCGGTAAGTGTAGACGTACCCTTAGTTCTACTAAAGCTGCTGGAGTCTCTCATTATAAAAGCGTGTTTTCTATTCCTTTCATTCTCGTATCTCTCTTCTGAACATCTCTCCAATTTATCAACATCCTTCTTGAACTGTAGACACCAGAACTGGAGACAGTATTCCAGCTGTGGTTCCATCAGTGCCACATAAAGAGGTAAAATAATCTCCTAGCCTTCTTTTTGATGAAGATTGAGCTCCTTAAGTCTTGCTCTATTGGCCCTGTTCTTCAGGCATCCTTGTAGCTCTTTGCTGAAGCCTCTCCAACTCTGCCCCCAATGATGTAGCCAGCTTGTTAACTCCTGCACATCTGTTATCTTTTTCCCCCCAAGGCCTATGTAACACAAAGACAGAAGCTATCATGGGGAATACAACTCAGGACCGTCCATTCGAGAAACACGGACTTTTCTAACTCGTGGGATAAAGCTTCATCCTTACTAACAAGTTTTAGTAGCAGGATGCACTATTATTACTATTATTATTGTTAACTATTTGTATGGCAATTTTACTCCATTGTGCTCAGCGCTGTACAGACACCGAACAAAAAGACTGTCTTGTTCTCTTCCTCTGAGTCAAGAAATTACCTTCAGATAGAAAGAAACAGGCTGCTATAATAAAATCACTGGATGAAGTTTGCAAAAATGAGTTTATTGCTTCACAATCATGTCTGCAGGTTTATTTGTTTTTATTGACAATCAGAACAAAGTCTTTTTCCTCATTAAAGACCCTAGAGGACACAGAATGTCACAAGGGCTACAGCTATGGCCCTATGAACAATTCCTAGCTAAGATGGCAGCGGAGTTCACTCCAGGGAGGGAAGATGCTTCAGCAGCCAGGATTTTGTTTAGACGTCACTAGAAGACAAAAAACAGGAGAGGAGTTAGTCAGCCTCCTTCAGGACTGGGAAGATGTCTCAGTAAGATTCCTTTGCAATTGATTCATAGATTTTAAGGCCAGAAGGGACCAGATCATCTAGTCAGCACAGGCCAGGGAATTTCAACCACTCTTTCCCCCACCCTGGAGGTACCTATAGGCCATCATAGAAAGATCATGGAAAGGGCAGTATCTGCAGAGCCACTCACCATCCAGAGAAGTCTCTGGCCTTCCAGGCGTCGATGACCTCAGCAATGTTTCCTGCAACCTTCCCGCTGGGCAACTGCAGGTCATCGGAGACGTCGCCATTGAAGTTCCCGCAGGACGCACACAGCTTGTTAGCCAGGCTCTCGCTGACTCTCACCGTCACCTCCCCACTGGGGCTCAACAGAACCTGCATCCCCGAGCCTTGGACCACGGCCACGCCGCCCTGAGACCTGCTCACAGACACAGCACCGGAGACATTCACTGGCAGCTGCACCAGGCGCCCATTCACCTGGAACACACAGACATAGGTCAGAGGAGAGCTGGGGAATGTGGAGGTGAATGAAATAGAAATAGGCCAGGAGCTGAGCTCAAGTCCATAGGCCACATTACATGGCAACAGGATCTAGACTGTATAGGCTCCATCATAAGGCTGTGGGATCTAGAGTCCATGGGCCCCAATACCAGGTAATGGGATCTAGAGTCTATGAGTCACAATAAAAAGCAATGGGGTCTAGAATCTATGGGCCATATTAAAAGGCAATGGGGCCTGGGGTCTAGTGACTATGGGCCCCATTATAAGGCAATGGGGACTAGAGAGTCTGGGCCACAATAAAAGGCAATAGTCTTACACTGAGAGGTGCAGAAAACACTATGACTGACTGAGAAGCCAACCAATAAACAGTGATCTGGAGAGCAAATTTTTCCAATTCTGTCAATATCCAATGCAGGTGCACTGATTTGCATAGGCAACTTGATTGGCTAAAGTCCCTCCTGATTTCAATGTTATTGACCTGTGAGCAACAGTGTTTCTTAGTGGGAAAAGAACTCTAGAGATTTTATGCAAAAGTTTTAATGCCCTAATTTACATATTTGATGAATGATACCTGTACTTATTTGCATAAATGACAGCAGCCAATCAAGAAAGAGACAAGGTGGGTGAGGTAATATCTTTTATGGGATCAACTTCTGTTGGTAGCAGCACAAGCGTTCAAGCTACACAGAGCTCTTCTTCAGGCGTGTACAGCTTGCAAGCTCCTTCCTCCCACCAACAGACGTTGGTCCAATACAAGGTATCACCTCACCCAGTTGGCCTCTCTAATATCCTGGGACCGACACGCCTAGAACAACACTGCAAACAGCTGTTCAGGTTACCGAGTTCTGAATGTGACATGATACTGCCTCTGATTCCTCCCTCAGCCCCCAGGGGGCAATCTTGCTCCCCCAATGGACAGGTCCCTCCATGAAGGGGGGGTTCTTTCCCCCAATGGAGAGGTGCCCCAGCAAAAGAAGGAACCTCTCCCAGGGAACCTACTGGGTTACAGAGACCCTTCCTAGAGGAGTTCCCTGCCTCTCCTCCAAGCTTAGAGGTGGAACACAGCAGGGGTGAGGGGGGCTGGGAGTCAGGACTCCTGGATTGCATCCCCAGCTCTGGGAGGGAAGTGGGCTTTAGTGGGTTAGAACAGGGGGAAGTCAGGACTCCTGGGTTCTAATTCAGTCTTTGCTACTGAATAATTGTTCATCCATAACTCAGGTCATCCCCACAGCCTGTACACCACATCCTGTCAACACTGAGGGTTCATGAGGCTGAATGAATTGATCTTTGAGATGCCCAGATCAGCCTCAGTTAATAGGATGAACATCACTGTAATTTCTAGTCTTTTCATCATTTCGGTGGCAGCTGAATGAACTTCCTGCCCCTTCGACTCAGGCTGTTCTAACGTGGCCCCCTCTTACCCACGTCTCCTTGTTCCTTTTCACAGCTATGAAAGCATCTCGGAAGAAAATGTAGGCGGTCGTCCCAGCCATCACTGCCCCGTCGCCGCATGCCCTGACGTCCACCACCACCCTGAACCAGGAGGGGGCGCTGTCATTGCAGAGAGAGGCCAGCTCGTAAGCGCCACTGTGGAGATCTCCTCCAGAGGCGCCGTCGAATGAGGTGAGCTGGGCTCCGGGGAATAGTGTGCACCGGCCTTCCTGCTTCACGCAGCCGCGCACCCCATCCTGGAGCGCACAGACCTCTTTGTCGGGGCAGCTGTGTGGCTCGCAGACGAGTCCGCCTGAGGCCTGGCAGGTGCACTTCTCAGAGCAAGCACTGGAGATGATGCTCTCCCCGGCCTGCAGGGAAATTCCCAAATAACTTTGTTACAGAAAAGCAGCAGGAGAAAAGTCCCAGAATGGGATCAACTCAAAGCTCCCTTTGATTATTTACATTACTGTAGCCTGCCGAGGTCAGGGTCCCATTGCGCTGGGTGCTGTACAAATAAATAGTGACAGACAGTCCCTGCCCCAAAAGATATGTCTTTACTGCAGAGTTATCTCAAGAGATCTTTCTTTCTCTGGGGTAGCCTAGCCTAGGTGTGAGTGGTCATACCGCAAACCCTACATAAATTACTCTGTCCCTCCTAGTGAAGAGCTCCACTGTGTGTGCCGCTGGGATTTCTGGGGGCATATCCTGTGGTGCTTTCTGCTGCAATAAATGTGGGAATTTTGGTAATATTTTATCAGGTCTATGTGCGCCTCAGTTTACCTTGGCGCTTTGTACTGCTGTGCACTGAGTGTAAAGGGAAGGGGTGAGGTGTTGGACTCATGTAGCCACCTGGTTGGAGGCCAGAGTCATTAACAAATGGAATAAAGTCTAGGCTTGTGAACAGAGGGTCTGGAAGAGACAATGGAAACCCCAAAGGCCAGGACATTCACCCGCACTGACCAACTACCAAAGACAGGAATTTAGCTGCAAGGAAGCAGAGCAAAGGGCCTGAGCTGGAGAATGAAGGGGAAAGGTGCCAGGTGGCTGGGTGAAGAGCTTAGCTCACAGGGGCTCTCTCCTGGGATGGAGACAAAAGGACAGAGCCAAAGAGAGGAAGCGACATGGTTCCTCTGGCAGCATGGCTCAAGGGAGCCCGGGCGTTAGCCAGTCTGAACTCTGCCGTGACCTTTGCTTCTCTGCGCTAACCCAAGACCTTTCAGATGCTGTAGCCAGGGGACTAACAAGCTGTTACCTTGAAAAGGCCGCCTGGTGTCGCTGCAAATTCTCACTAAGGGCTTTGCACCCTGAAGAGGTAGGAATAAAACTCCCACAGGAGTCCGGCTTGGCTGGACTCGCTGCAGGGAGCCGTGGAGAGACAAGGGATCACTGGTGCCCAAAGGGCCAGTTGCGGTCTCACAGGGCCATGGGCCTGCCCCTGTGGAGCTGGTGGGTCCTTGGGGCCCAGCACACTAAAGAGGTCGCCCCAAGGGACTAGTTATAGGTTGGCGCATAGACCAGTCCCTGTGAATCCATGACACTGGAATTCTTCCCTAGTGAATTGTGGCACAGGAGGGTGATCAGTGATTTAGCCTGTGTCTTCATGGCAAAGTGCCTGTTACCTGAGTGTAAACACCACCCAGGGTCCAACCACACCCCCACTCCACTCCCACCCCACCCCACCCCCTGGATGGGCCGGCCAACCTGGGCTGAAAGAACCACTGAACTCGAGTGAGAACATCAGAATGGCCATAGTGGGTCAGACCAATGTCCATCTAGTCCAATATCCTGTCTCTGGCAGTGACCAGTGCCAGATTCTGGAGAGAGAATGAACAGAACAGGGCAATTAGTGTGTGATCCATCCCCTGTCCTCCACTCCCAGCTTCTGTCAGTCAGAGGGTTAGAGATAACCCGGAGCATGGGGTTGGGGCCCTGAAAATCTTGGCAAATAGCCATTGATGGTCCTATCCTGCTTGAATGTATCTAATTCTTTTTTGAACCCAGGTATAGTTTTGGCCTTCACAACATCCTCTGGCAATGACTTCCACAGGTTGACTGTGTGCTGTGTGAAGTGCTTCCTGACTGGGTTGAAGATGGAGCATGATAAGTTTATGAACTTCCTAGACGGGAAAGGACCTGTCCCATTCCCCATCCTCCAAGCCAGCCACTTACCCTAACTGGGGTCAGGATTAGACCTGCAGCCTCCTAGAGGGGAAAGGCAATATGTCCCTTTCCCAACCCCCTAAGCCAGCCAGTGTCCCGTGCTGGGCCAGATCAGAGCCGGCGCCCTCTAGTGGGGAAAGGCTCCATATCCCATTTTCCATCCAATCCCATGGTTTCCCTGTGATGAATCCCTAGCGCATGGCATAGTTTCATTTCCACATGCAAGGATCACACAGGGCAGGTGTTCGGATGCTCATCTAACCAAGTGCCACTGACTGCAGCGGAAGTCACATGGGTGACTGAAGGCAGGACCTAGCTGTAGGTTTTGTGTGTCGCTGCACTGAAGGGCACAGATACACAGTCACTGTAACTCCCCGTGGGAAGCTGGGACAATCCCACACCTACAAGGGCATCCGATGCCAAATGACAGCATCGAGGACGACAGCCGACTCATATCCCAGCACCCACCTTGATGTAGCGTCCGTCACGCACGCAGCCGCATCCTTCCATGGGCGTGCACGTTTCCCCATTGAATGCGTAGCCGGCGTCGCACTGGCAGCCTTCAAAGCATTTCACAGTGCATTGGGCAGGGGAGAACAAGCCAGCACATGTGAAATCGCAGGATCTAGTGCAGAGCTCGTAGTGGCTGTTGGCCGGGCAGGTGAAAGCTGGAGAGACAGAAGCGAATGAGAAAGGGATGAAAACCTGAGGCTGTGTCTGCACTACAGCAGCTACAGCGGCATAGCTACAGCACTGCAGCTATTCTGCTGTAGCACCCTGGTGTAAATGCTTCCTACATCAACAGACGGGGCTCTCCCATCCGTGTAGTTACTCTACCTCTTTGAGATACGATAACTCGGTCAATGGAAGAATTCTTCCATCAACACAGCTGTGTCTACAGTGGAGTCAGGTCGACCTAGCTATGTCACACAGGGTGTGAAATGTTCACAGCCCTGAGCGATGTGGCTAGGTCAAGCTAATGTTTAGGTGTAGTGTAGACCAGGCCTGCCTCACCCATCCCACCCCCTGCAGCATGCTCCCAACCAGCTACTCTCTCCTCGCAAAGGTGTCTGACAAGCAGAGAGATTGTGATACCACTTCACTAGCTGCAAATACAGCTGAAGAGAAGAGCAGGCTGTAGATTGTTCTGTAGACTTACGGCAGAAGGAGGCTGTTCTCCAGGCACTGACTGTGACTCCAGCTGCCTGGCATGCGGCCGCGTAGGCCTGGACACTCTGGCAGAGGATTTCTCTTGCTCCATTGGCAGCACACATGTCATAGAGACAATGGTTGAAATACTCGGTAGGGCTGACCAGTGAGTGACAGTATTGAAAGGGACCTGATGTCGCTTTGATCAGCCCACAGGAGCTATCGACCTGATACGGCGCTGTTTTAGCTGCATCACAGACCGGGCATCTTTCCCCACAGCCGTCGGTGCACGTGGCACCATCAACGGGCACCTTCCAGGAGGCCCCGAACTCATCCGCGTTCTGGGCGCTCTTCCCACTGGGCAGCAGGAAATCGTCATTCTTGTCTCCGTTGAAGTTGCCGCACAAGCCGCACACGTGTCCCTTGTAGGAGCTGGGGATGGAGACTAGGATATAATAGGAGGTGTCGTAAAGGACTCTGAGGCCAGAGGGAGATTGGACAATGATGTTGTTCCCCTCCTGGTTGATATGAAGTTTCCCGTCGTTCATAGTCAGCGGGAGAGTGTAGAGCTCCCCGTCCACCTGTGCCAATGAGAGGGAAATTCACCTGTCAGTAGTGGGGACTCAGCAGCTGTATCCTGGTTACAACACACAATATTAGTCACTCTAGGCCAGTGGTTCTCAACCAGGGGTATGCAGAGGTCTTCCACGGGGTACATTAACACATCTACATATTTGCCTAGTTTTACAACAGCCTATATAAAAAACACTAGTGAAGTCAGTACAACCTAAAATTTCAGACAGACAATAACTTGTTTATATTGCTCTAAATACTATACACTGAAATGTACATAAGATATTTATATTCCAAATTATTTATTTTATAATTTTATGGTAAAAATGGGAGAGTAAGCGATTTTTCAGTACTAGTGTGTCTATGACACTTTTGTATTTTTATGTCTGAGTTTGCAAGCAAGTAGTTCTTCAGTGAGTGAAACTTGGGGGTACGCAAGACAAATCAGACTCCTGAAAGGGGTACAGTCGTCTGGAAAGCCTGGGAGCCACTGTTCTAGGCTACAATGAGAATAATCTCAAACAGGGACTTACCGTGACTTTCCACTTCCTTCCCCTCTCCATGGTGATGGTGTAACCATGAACGGAGACCACCACCATCCGTGCCACTGACACTCGGCCATTACCGTAGCTCTCATTTTCTACCACCACGGAGAAGTTTGCCAGACCAGTGTCACTGCTACAGACTCTGGCTAAACTGTAAGTGCAAGTGCCCTGGAAATCAAAGGCCCGTCCGTCAAAGGTCAGATAGTGACGATCACCAGACACAACACATTTGCCGCAGCCTGTGGCGTGGCAGCCCAGGATTCCATTCTCCACCCTGCACTGCTCATTGGCTCCGCAGGAGGCCTCCTGGCACTCAACGATCCCGTTGTCTTTGCACCGGCACCGTTTCTGGCAGGAGGCGCTGGCGTAAAACTCCTCTCCCTTCCTGTAGTACCTGCCCTGGTGCACACAGCCGCACTGCGCGATGGGGACGCACCGGTCTCCGCTCAGGAGGAACCCGGCGTCGCAGAAACACCCTTCAGCACAGGGGGCATCGCAGCTGTCCGGCGCCGAGAGGCCGTGGCAGGTGGCAGGGCAGCCGCTCCCACAGAGCTCGTAGTGGAAGTTACGGGGGCAGGTGGGGCCTGAAGGAGAAGATCAGAGAGAACGTGCAGATAGGGATGAGAGAAAGAAGAAATGCAAAGGTAAATTGAAAAAAATCTCTCTCAAGTCATATCACTTACAATAGGATTGTTCTGGTGGGGTTGGGAGCCAGGACTCCTGGAT